TCCGGTCATTGGTCCAATAACTGAATACAAAGATATCGAGAACAACCGAGTTTGACACTATTTAAGTACCTCAGCCTCGATGAGATAATGTATGATGAAAAGATTTGATTACACGGTAACCATATCGTTGATAGGTTGCTATTTTGCTGAATCTGAATCTGAATCTATCGGGTGGCCATGATGTCTTGTTAGAAGCCTAGTTAGTAAAAACGCGTATTATACGCGAATTATACGGACAGCCGTATAATTCGCGTATAAAACGCACGTATCTGAAATTTGTAAAATCTGCCGTATAATTCGCGTATAATAAGGTGTACCGTATAATTCGCGTATAATTCGCGAATTATTCGCGAATTTTTGAAAGAAAAAAAAAAACATAATCTCACACCCCCAAAACGACGTCGTTTTGGTGGGTTTATACAAAAAATTAAAATAGATCTGGTTCAGTCGTTCTTCTTCAATTCTTCGGCAGTTCAGCAGCAATTCTTCTTCTTCCTCAGTTCTTCTTCAGCTTTTCTTCCTCACAAATTTCCACAAGCAATCAATCAACTCCCACAATCAACACACAACAATCAACTCCAGCAAATAATCAATTTCCACAACCTTCGTCTCTTTTGTATAGACATAAGTTTATACTTTATACAAGAGAGCCGAAGTTTAACTTTTAAGAAGAAAGTGAAGACTGAAGAGAAGGTGGAACAAAGAAAGAGAAAGAAGAGAAGAAACTTACAGAAGAAAGAGAGAAGAAAGTTTTGAAAAGAACGAGAAAATGAAAGAGAAGAGAAAGGAGAGAGAAAATTTAATAAAATATATACTTTTAAGTTTTAACTTTTACTTGATACATTTGTAATTTTTGTAAACTGACTGTAGGGTGTATTTGTAATTTTTATAAACAATTGGTTTTATTATGATTGTGTTTGAGTCTGGAGACTATAATTTGAATATCAGTTATATTTATATATTGTGTATTTGTGTTATTGGTTAATTGAATACTTTGCATTTGAAATGTTATATTGATTTTAACCAGGTAGTCCATAAAAATGTTAAAACTAAGATTGATATTGCCGTATTTTTCAAAACGTATTATTGACAATGCACCGTATTAAACCCGTATATACCCGTACCGTATTTTTTCCGTATCCGAATTATATGGCCGAATTTTTATAAACGTATTTTTCACCGTTTGCCGTATTATACCCGTAAAATTCCCGTACCGTTTTTTTGCCGTACCTGTATTTACTAACTAGGGTTAGAAGCCAATCTTGGTTTGTGTATAGTGAGACGATTAATTGGTGTTAATCGCGATACTACTCACTGCCGATATGATAAGGAGCCTATGGGTTACACACTTAGAAGATAATTTAAGAATCGTTTTGTGAAAGGGGTATTTTTGTCTTTTAGGATGAAATGGTATTTTGGTAATCTCACAGTGCAATAAATTTGCCGAGGTTGTTGCTTGTATTTAATTTTAATATTAAAATTAAAATTAGTGAGATATATTTAAATGGATTATTATTATTAATTAAATGTTAATATATTATTATATATATCAATTGATTTTTCATTATAATAATAATTAATTAAAATTTAAAATACCAATTAAAGGGTGTTTGATTGCAATGGTGGATTAGGGTTGGAGCTCATGACTATTCCTTAATGGAATAGGGTTTTAATTGTTGCACTGTATAAGTGCAACTTAAAATTAAAATATTATATCATTAAACATTATTCAATTAAAAAAACCCTAGCCACCCTTTTTTTCTCTCTCAGTCCCCACTCATTGATTGAAGAGAAATATTTTTCTCTTCTTGATGTTAGGAAACGATCCGATTGCGTAGCGGAAAACAAAAATTTTACAACCATGGATCGTTCCTTAAAACCCAAAATCAGGGCACAGAAATTACAGTTTATGTTTTACATCAAGAATCTGCAGAAAAATAAATCTAAAGTTTAGATTCATACCCACGTTGGAGGCTCCACCAATATTGTCTCTGAACGTGTTTGCTACCGATCCAAGTGTAGGATCAAACCCAAGAAGTCCACACGAAGATAATCACAAGGAACCCAAGAGTGATTTGCTAGATCCTCCTTGGTCTTAAGAAATCAAGAAGAAGAAAAGAGAAATATTTGATTTTTCATTCAAACAGTGAAAGTGGCGTGGGAGAGTGTGTATGTGTTGTGTGTTTTTCTTTTCTTTCAAAAGGGCAAAATTTTAATTATTAACAAATCACACAAACACCTTTCCTTTTATAGGCAAACTTAGTTGCTCTATTCCCACATGGAATGGGCTTGGGCTCCAACCCAAACACCCCATGTTGCCAAACACTCCCAATTAGATATTTTAATTTAATTTATCATTATCTCAATTAAAATCAATTAATATTTAATTAACATTTAACAATAATAATGATTTAATTAAATATGTGCAAACACACATTTAAACGTAATTTCACTTATTTAATTTTTTCTAACAAATTAAATAAAAGCTACGACCCCAATAAATTTAATTGCACTGTGAAATTACCAAAATACCCTTTCGCCTAAAAAGATGAAAACACCTTTCTTTCTTCTTGGCTCTTAAATTATCTTCTATGTGTATGACCATAGGCTCCTTATCATATCGGCAGTGTATAGTATCGCGATTAACACCAATTAATTGTCTCACTAATACGCAGACCAAGATTGGCCCCTAGCAAGACATCATGGCCACTCGATAGATTCAGATTCAGCAAAGTAGCTACATGTCAACGATATGGTTACCGTACAATTCGATCCTTTCATCATCCATTATCTCGACGAGACGAAGGCATAGAAATAGTGTCAACCTTCGGTTACTCTCGATATTATGTATTCAGTTTATGGACCAATGACCTGTATTATAATCTGGATAGACCAACAACTCAATCCCACTGTGGCCATAGTTTTAGTGTCATTGCCATATACTGAATTGCGCCGGGAGATAACTTATCCCATACCCGGGAATGATGAATCTTCTGTCAATCCACCATAGTCTTGATACATTCCTTGATGTAGCCAATCACCACCGTATTGACAGCTCTGAATAGAACTGCTTTAGGCTAGTGTCAAACTGCACCAATCGGTGCACAAGGCGCTCCGGTGATCTCAAGTCTAAGGATCACATGCACCACCATTCGTTAAAGGATTTGTTTCATAGACACTAGGGTTATCATCCATATGGAATCCTCTGGTGGGTCAGTCTAGTGAACTTGCTGCGGTGTATTCGCCTACAGCAAGCACCCATGTGTTGCACCAGGTTGTCACCAAACAATCTTGACAAGTGAGATCAGTCATTGTCTTTCGACAGGGTCGTTTAAACACTATGATAGTCTTACCGTATTATATGTGCCCTTACTTCATAATAACAATGGGGCTACGGACGTTTCTAAAATGACCACCATATGTGCTCATAGGGTTCTCACTATCAAGATTTGAAACACTTGATACCCTCGTCACGATTCTACCATTCTAAGGACATATATCAATACAAATTGCAATAATAATTATTTACGCGATATAGAATAAAATGTCTTTTATTGATTAATGAACATTATTACAAAGAGTCAATTCTACAATAATTGATTGGCTCTAGGGCATCTACTCTAACACTTGATTCTTTGAAAAACTTGATTCTTGAAGTCATCCCATTGTTCTCATAAAACAACGGTTGGTTCTTTGGATTGTTTTCGTGTGGATCAACGTACGTGCAGTTCCATATTGAATCTGTAGCGAAATAAAATCAAAGACGCTTGAAGGAGCCTCCAAACGTCCGTAAGATTTTTGATCCTTTGAATGGATTAATTTTATTTTATACATAATTTTTGTTTTAACATGTAAGAAACCTAATCGATACTCGGATCTTGGCGTAATAATAATTGATTTCCGATTTGTTTTTTATTTTTCTGCTGCCTACTAGAGATCAATTACTAACAGTTTCTCCTATTGCCTATTACTCACCAATCTTTGCTCCGCCGACAACTCACCAATCTTTGCTTTGCCGGTGACATCACCAGAATTAGGTGTCCTTACTTACAATGGACTTTTGACCATCCCGCCCTTCTTCACAACAAAATTTGCTAAATGGATTCTGCTTTGGGTGGCAAAGTGGTATTTTAAAAGTTCATGGGTGAGGTGTATCAGACCATTATTTGAGTGGGAAAAAGCACTGTTTTAAAACCCGAACCAGATTGACTAGTCTAACCAAGACCTGACAGCCTATCTGGTCTAGTTCAGGTTTTAAGGAGGTTTCTGCTATATTTCAAATTTCTAGGGACTAATTTGGTACTCTTTATGGGTATTTTTGAAAAATGTCAAAACATTAGGGACTAATGAGCTTTTTGGGAATGTTTAAATTATCTAAAATTTTAGGGACTAACTTGTAATATTTTAGGGGTATTTTAATATACTGAAATTTAAAGAACTAATTTATAATTTTTTAAAAACACTTTCGTTGCTGACATCATCAGTCCAACTAGTTAGATCAGTCGACCTGTGACCCAATCGCCTTACCAAATCCTACAACAGGTTGGGTTTTAAAACAAGGGAAAAAGTCGGTTACTCAATATTCTCTAACAAATATTATTCTTTCTTTCAAGTATCTTACATACAATGAGATGCATTATATCAATTGACTTAATTATTTGCAACTGTATTATTCAATAGTCATATAGTTTTAACTAGATAAGCTTTTATAATATATATCCGACTCATATAACATATTATTAAAATAAGGCCAATCTAATTATTAATTGGCTATCTAAAGAAAGTTATATTAATTTACATTAGAACTCATTTAAAATATTAAAATGAGTTTGATTATAGAAATATTAAATATTAAGATCTATCTTTAAATTTTTCGAACACTAATATATATATATTTTTGGAAATTATTTAATATTTTATTATTATTAAATGCAAATTTTATGGCTACGTCCCTGCTCAATACTGTAGAATAACATTTGCCTGTAGTTTACTCATCAGAGGATGCACAAAGGTTTTAGCCTCAAAATATCTTTATTGTCGAAAGAAAAGCAAAATATTTGGTTTATCTATTCAACACCAACATTGGGGGGAAAACAAATGAGCAACTATAAAAAATCTACTACGTTAACCATAGTATAAACGCACCCCAAATTCATAAAAGAAAATCTCTTTTCAAGTCAAGTCAAAGAGTGGGGAATAAAAAATTGGAGTTTGGATCACTAGTCTAACACACATTGCAGGACTAAGTAGCACTATCATTCAACAGTGGCAGAAACCATGAGCAACCTGCAGTAGATTCACATCCTAATTATCTAAGCACAATGTGGTTTCTTTTACCGTTGCAAGTTAACGTCTGTCGCTAGTGCAGGAGTTGCCTCGACCCTCCAAAAATATCAACTTATATTCTTTCAACAATCAACCACTTCTTTACAAACTCCTGTAGTCTATAACAGTGACTTCATCCTCTGGTGCATCTAGGTCTTGGTAGCTGCATGAAATTAACAAATTGCTGAGATTAGATCACAAATGAAAATTACAAAACAGCACAAATCAGTAACAATAGTTTGTTCTAGGAATAATTGTAAAAATTAAAACCCAGCCAGGAAGAACTTAAGTACAAAACAAAAATATAAAAGGATGTCACCATTAAAAATAATCACTATAATTTCTCTACCATCTAAATTTACTCTCATTTGGACTTCACAATTTACTAATAGTTTCACCATACAACCATACGTCACATTCGTTAAGTTTATTATGTAGAGGACCTAAACAAAGTTTACCTTCTTAATCGTCGAGGATCCTGTCGAAAACCTGGAGACAAAAGAATAGGGCCTGGTCCACTTAGTTGGGGCCCAGGCCGCCCATTTCTACCACCCCCTTCGAAAGGAGGAGGGCCACCCTGTTCTCTAAACATCCGCATAGCAACTTCAGGTGGCGCAGGGACAAAAGGCCCCAATGGACTGCAATTACAGGCAAATATAAGCTCTCTAGAAAGATGGCAAAACCTACTGTCGATTCTCTTCCAAATAAAAACAAATAAATCACAAACTGTTGACTTACCCAGCACCAGGAACAGGCATCAATACCGGTGGAGGGGGTATATCAGAGGGGAAAGGAGGCCCAACCCGTATGCCTCCTCCAAAAGGATCAAACATTGATTCATCACGATTTGCACCATCAGGACCATCATTGTTGGATGGAAATTCACTAGATTGAGCATTGTCAGACCTATCATATCTATCACTACCATTAGCTCGATAGTCACGTTCTCTACGGTTTCCACGTTCATCTTTTAATCGGTTCTCTGAACCTAGCTTGCGTCTCATTGGTTTTTCCTTCTGCAAATAAAAAAAAAAAAAGTATAAAGCAACACTAACTTCAAAAACTAACAATCAATGATAGTAATAAAAATAATTTTCTTTTTATAAGATATACTAATCATTATTAAAACCCACATAAGAACATTCATAATGTCATAAAAACAGAGGTTTCTATCAGGAGGATGCAGTTATATATTTTATGCTGTCTAACGTCTACTTCAATATATAGTCAAATTTGAGAAGTCATAATATGCATTATCAATTCAAACAGAGTGGATATGTGTTGCAGTATATGATAGCAACAAACCAACGTGCACAACCTTTAGGCATAATATATGAGCTTAGACATATATATCAATGAATAAGGCCTTAATTACAAACTGTAAAAGGAACATGAAACTAACAACATCAAACTTGGAAAGACACATTTATGCTGCCAGGCACCAGAAAAGATAGAAAAACTTTCTTCAACTCAGTCTCAAAGTCATACTAAAAACTATGATCCCTTCCCTCTTTCTTCATATTCAATTATTACAAGAATACAAATTAACTTTGGTAACACCATGGTCAAATATTGGCTCACTTTTACCAAACCTAGTTTATCCATCCCTAGCAGTATCTATTCACGGCATCAATTCTTCCTAACCACTACAATACTTCTTTCAAATCCTTAAACTAAAAACAATGAAAAAAAAAAATTGAAACAAAATGAAAAGCAATGATTGAACATAAAAGCTATTACTAACTGAGAACAAAACTCTTGTACTTCTCAAATAACTGCTGTGGTGGATGCTAACATGTATAGCCACACCCCTATCTGTTGATAAATCAATTTTCTAATCATGCATGTAATAAGGGAAGTTTACAAGATAATCAAGGAACCTGTAAGACATTAGCAAGACTTTTAAGATAGTAAACAGCAACAGGACTAGAGCACTCTGGAATCAGTATGCAGAAATACTATAAAAGTAGAGTTTCAACTCTTTCAGTCCCATCCCTATTCCGATATTTCCAGCCCATTGTAAATATAGCCAAACTGGCTGGCCCACTTCATATTACAAATCTCTCCCTATAATGTAAACAAGGTTGATTGAACAGGACTAATAATGACCGGATAAATCATACCGGTAAAGGTTGCTGCATGACAGGTGTCCCACCAGGTGCATCTGCATCACTGTTAATGACATCAACATATTTACTTTAGTATCTTTAGAACCAAGTATTAAAAAAATCGACATAATATCTAGAAGACTACCCTTACTTCATGTAGTTCTGAAAATACAGTTCTTCACGGACTTTGACAGTGAGCTCCATCACAAGTTCTGGGTGCTTCAGTTTAAGATGCTTGTGCACAAACTCAGCAGCATGAAAAAGCTTTGTGCAACCTTTGGCTCCACAACCATACTTCCACCCATACTTTTCATCCCTAATCTTCCGGACAAAGGGATCCAAAGCATCAACAGCAGCAGCATCGATCTTGTCCTTTGCAGTCATTATTTCTAATGGATCTTGACTCCTCAATCTCTCTTGCCAACGAGAGTCAAGTTTCTTTTCCCACTCAGACCCATTACTACCTAAGTCACTACTTTTTCCGTCTACTCTAACATGTCTGAGACCCTTTGCTTCACTTGTTTCAACCATCCCATAATAATCCACACCATGGATGCGCCACATATAAGTAATAAGTGTGTCCAGAAGTTCAACACCCTCCAAGCCCTTGACAGAGGTCAAACCCCTTATGATAATAACTGGACCAGTAGAGCCACCATGGGATTTCTCCCGACTCATTTTATCGTTATCAGATCCACATAAGATATTTTCCTCAATTCCTTTCTCTGAATCAAGTTTGCGTACAAGAGCCTGTGCTTGTTCAATATCAACTTGGATTCTTCTAGGTTCTGAGCAGACTGGGTGTGCCTTAGGAGCAGCAGATAAAAGATCAGTTTCTTTAGCAGGTCCCCGACCATGCCGTCTTCTTTTACCACCAGCATCTGCTTCATCATCAGAATTTGGATCACTAGTCTGTCCAGATTTATTTGATGACGAGGCATTTACACCAGGACCTCTGCATCATAAAAGTAACTATAAGCTTACAGTCACAAAAATGAAGTAAACTTGACACAAGTATGAAAATAATCAGGGAAGTGCAGCTCTTACAAGTCCAACGTCCCACTCTGTAAATCTAGCAAGAACTCTTTTGCAACCTTCCGTGCAAGTTCATTCCTCCTAAAAAGAAACTCCCCAATATGATTAGCTGAATATCAGCATGATATAAGATAGAAATAGGTGTTTTTAAAAGGAGAGCCATACAAAGCCAACACCCATAAAAATAAGGAGCCTCACAATTTTATCAGCCTACTTTCAACTTAAGGAATTCCAATCATCATCAAACAGGCAGTAAAGCTCACCTTTCTATGACTGAAAGTAAATTAGTTGGGTGATATTTGTCCTTCAACCTATGTACACAAGCACAATCAATTAGCAATATGACAAGAAAAGAAAAGGTAGGAATTAAAGAATTGATGAAGAGTACCATTCCTCATCCTTATGAGCATCAAAGAAAACTCGCTTCTGAGTTGAAATATATTCTGACTTGTATTCTTGATATCTACAAAATCAGGGGCCAAAGTCACTTCATTTATTATTTCTCTTTTAAAAACTTGAGGTCACAAGTATAGAGCACAATCTAACTCTAGAGCAACTGAAACAGTCAGCATTCTGTACCTGCGCTCTGCTTCAGCAGGAAGTATATCATCTTCAAGCTCCTGAATAAATTGCTTGTAGGACATCAAGCCTTCCCTGATAAAAATTACATAATATGTCACATTAATTAGTGCAAAAAATAAGGTTCCAATAGTCCACTAAAATCCCCTCTTCATTGAATTGAAAACAAGGTATGCATTTGTGTGTGAGTCGAGAATAGTTGATAAAGAAATGAGATGAAAAGAGAATTAGACCAAACTGAATTAAGAAACAATGGGAACAGAAGGAACACCATGCAGGAATGATCAAATAAAGGATAAATCAAACCTCAAGAAATATTAAAGTCCATTAACAACATCAATTCTAACCTTTGAGCACTCCCTGCGTTAGGAACATCACTGTAACCACCACGACCTGAATCCCATTCTACAAAGTTAGAGAACCCAATAAGTTCTACTTTAACAAATAAGATGAGGTGTTCTATATATATATATATATATATATATATATATGCTGACACGCCAAATAAAAATTGACCAACAAGTTAAATTTCTAAAAACATAATGCATATTTCATTTGGGGATCTCATGAATATATGCAAATTAAAATTCTTCGTGTAATGGATTCCAAAGATATTGGTGTATTTTGATACCATATGCAGATTGTCCAAAAGCAAATGCGGTGTGCATCAATTTTCAAGCATTATGTAACTCCTATTAAACATTAAAATCAAACCATTCCAGGCAATCTGTGCCCCAAACTCAGTCCTCAAAATAATCTTAAGAAATAAATTATGAAATTCCAATGAGCTACTCGTAAGCAAAGACTTAGACTACAAGTTATATAAGATCAACACATATGAAGTTATATATTAAAGACTTAGGCTACAGTAACTAAAAAATTTAAATTCCAACATTTAATTTTCTATAGCATAACCCTATAATAAATTCTAAATGCATTGCACATATTTAAGACAAATGAAAATGCTTCTCTTATAATTGTATGTGCATGGGTGGATACTATAGTTATAAAAGTATTTGGAACACCAAATTTCAATTGGAGAAGTAGGGTATATCATATCACGATTTGCACCATCAGGACCATCATTGTTGGATGGAAATTCACTAGATTGAGCATTGTCAGACCTATCATATCTATCACTACCATTAGCTCGATAGTCACGTTCTCTACGGTTTCCACGTTCATCTTTTAATCGGTTCTCTGAACCTAGCTTGCGTCTCATTGGTTTTTCCTTCTGCAAATAAAAAAAAAAAAAGTATAAAGCAACACTAACTTCAAAAACTAACAATCAATGATAGTAATAAAAATAATTTTCTTTTTATAAGATATACTAATCATTATTAAAACCCACATAAGAACATTCATAATGTCATAAAAACAGAGGTTTCTATCAGGAGGATGCAGTTATATATTTTATGCTGTCTAACGTCTACTTCAATATATAGTCAAATTTGAGAAGTCATAATATGCATTATCAATTCAAACAGAGTGGATATGTGTTGCAGTATATGATAGCAACAAACCAACGTGCACAACCTTTAGGCATAATATATGAGCTTAGACATATATATCAATGAATAAGGCCTTAATTACAAACTGTAAAAGGAACATGAAACTAACAACATCAAACTTGGAAAGACACATTTATGCTGCCAGGCACCAGAAAAGATAGAAAAACTTTCTTCAACTCAGTCTCAAAGTCATACTAAAAACTATGATCCCTTCCCTCTTTCTTCATATTCAATTATTACAAGAATACAAATTAACTTTGGTAACACCATGGTCAAATATTGGCTCACTTTTACCAAACCTAGTTTATCCATCCCTAGCAGTATCTATTCACGGCATCAATTCTTCCTAACCACTACAATACTTCTTTCAAATCCTTAAACTAAAAACAATGAAAAAAAAAAATTGAAACAAAATGAAAAGCAATGATTGAACATAAAAGCTATTACTAACTGAGAACAAAACTCTTGTACTTCTCAAATAACTGCTGTGGTGGATGCTAACATGTATAGCCACACCCCTATCTGTTGATAAATCAATTTTCTAATCATGCATGTAATAAGGGAAGTTTACAAGATAATCAAGGAACCTGTAAGACATTAGCAAGACTTTTAAGATAGTAAACAGCAACAGGACTAGAGCACTCTGGAATCAGTATGCAGAAATACTATAAAAGTAGAGTTTCAACTCTTTCAGTCCCATCCCTATTCCGATATTTCCAGCCCATTGTAAATATAGCCAAACTGGCTGGCCCACTTCATATTACAAATCTCTCCCTATAATGTAAACAAGGTTGATTGAACAGGACTAATAATGACCGGATAAATCATACCGGTAAAGGTTGCTGCATGACAGGTGTCCCACCAGGTGCATCTGCATCACTGTTAATGACATCAACATATTTACTTTAGTATCTTTAGAACCAAGTATTAAAAAAATCGACATAATATCTAGAAGACTACCCTTACTTCATGTAGTTCTGAAAATACAGTTCTTCACGGACTTTGACAGTGAGCTCCATCACAAGTTCTGGGTGCTTCAGTTTAAGATGCTTGTGCACAAACTCAGCAGCATGAAAAAGCTTTGTGCAACCTTTGGCTCCACAACCATACTTCCACCCATACTTTTCATCCCTAATCTTCCGGACAAAGGGATCCAAAGCATCAACAGCAGCAGCATCGATCTTGTCCTTTGCAGTCATTATTTCTAATGGATCTTGACTCCTCAATCTCTCTTGCCAACGAGAGTCAAGTTTCTTTTCCCACTCAGACCCATTACTACCTAAGTCACTACTTTTTCCGTCTACTCTAACATGTCTGAGACCCTTTGCTTCACTTGTTTCAACCATCCCATAATAATCCACACCATGGATGCGCCACATATAAGTAATAAGTGTGTCCAGAAGTTCAACACCCTCCAAGCCCTTGACAGAGGTCAAACCCCTTATGATAATAACTGGACCAGTAGAGCCACCATGGGATTTCTCCCGACTCATTTTATCGTTATCAGATCCACATAAGATATTTTCCTCAATTCCTTTCTCTGAATCAAGTTTGCGTACAAGAGCCTGTGCTTGTTCAATATCAACTTGGATTCTTCTAGGTTCTGAGCAGACTGGGTGTGCCTTAGGAGCAGCAGATAAAAGATCAGTTTCTTTAGCAGGTCCCCGACCATGCCGTCTTCTTTTACCACCAGCATCTGCTTCATCATCAGAATTTGGATCACTAGTCTGTCCAGATTTATTTGATGACGAGGCATTTACACCAGGACCTCTGCATCATAAAAGTAACTATAAGCTTACAGTCACAAAAATGAAGTAAACTTGACACAAGTATGAAAATAATCAGGGAAGTGCAGCTCTTACAAGTCCAACGTCCCACTCTGTAAATCTAGCAAGAACTCTTTTGCAACCTTCCGTGCAAGTTCATTCCTCCTAAAAAGAAACTCCCCAATATGATTAGCTGAATATCAGCATGATATAAGATAGAAATAGGTGTTTTTAAAAGGAGAGCCATACAAAGCCAACACCCATAAAAATAAGGAGCCTCACAATTTTATCAGCCTACTTTCAACTTAAGGAATTCCAATCATCATCAAACAGGCAGTAAAGCTCACCTTTCTATGACTGAAAGTAAATTAGTTGGGTGATATTTGTCCTTCAACCTATGTACACAAGCACAATCAATTAGCAATATGACAAGAAAAGAAAAGGTAGGAATTAAAGAATTGATGAAGAGTACCATTCCTCATCCTTATGAGCATCAAAGAAAACTCGCTTCTGAGTTGAAATATATTCTGACTTGTATTCTTGATATCTACAAAATCAGGGGCCAAAGTCACTTCATTTATTATTTCTCTTTTAAAAACTTGAGGTCACAAGTATAGAGCACAATCTAACTCTAGAGCAACTGAAACAGTCAGCATTCTGTACCTGCGCTCTGCTTCAGCAGGAAGTATATCATCTTCAAGCTCCTGAATAAATTGCTTGTAGGACATCAAGCCTTCCCTGATAAAAATTACATAATATGTCACATTAATTAGTGCAAAAAATAAGGTTCCAATAGTCCACTAAAATCCCCTCTTCATTGAATTGAAAACAAGGTATGCATTTGTGTGTGAGTCGAGAATAGTTGATAAAGAAATGAGATGAAAAGAGAATTAGACCAAACTGAATTAAGAAACAATGGGAACAGAAGGAACACCATGCAGGAATGATCAAATAAAGGATAAATCAAACCTCAAGAAATATTAAAGTCCATTAACAACATCAATTCTAACCTTTGAGCACTCCCTGCGTTAGGAACATCACTGTAACCACCACGACCTGAATCCCATTCTACAAAGTTAGAGAACCCAATAAGTTCTACTTTAACAAATAAGATGAGGTGTTCTATATATATATATATATATATATATATATATGCTGACACGCCAAATAAAAATTGACCAACAAGTTAAATTTCTAAAAACATAATGCATATTTCATTTGGGGATCTCATGAATATATGCAAATTAAAATTCTTCGTGTAATGGATTCCAAAGATATTGGTGTATTTTGATACCATATGCAGATTGTCCAAAAGCAAATGCGGTGTGCATCAATTTTCAAGCATTATGTAACTCCTATTAAACATTAAAATCAAACCATTCCAGGCAATCTGTGCCCCAAACTCAGTCCTCAAAATAATCTTAAGAAATAAATTATGAAATTCCAATGAGCTACTCGTAAGCAAAGACTTAGACTACAAGTTATATAAGATCAACACATATGAAGTTATATATTAAAGACTTAGGCTACAGTAACTAAAAAATTTAAATTCCAACATTTAATTTTCTATAGCATAACCCTATAATAAATTCTAAATGCATTGCACATATTTAAGACAAATGAAAATGCTTCTCTTATAATTGTATGTGCATGGGTGGATACTATAGTTATAAAAGTATTTGGAACACCAAATTTCAATTGGAGAAGTAGGGTATATCATATGTTCTACAATTTAAATTTACAATATTAAATTGATAATGGAAGTACTTTGACACTTTTCAACATACTTCAAATCATGTGACAAAAATTTTCAGCACAACCTCCAACTGGCCACTGCTAGTGAATCTTGCACCAGATACAAAATGCTTTGAGTTGAAAACAAGAACTTAAAACATATAACAGTAACTTGATAAAGTAGATCCTATAGCAATAAATGTGCAGGGCTACATCCAGCCAAGAGTAAAGCACTAGCACTAATAAAATTAGGCAGTACATACATGGGAAGAAGTTACTTAACTAGAAAATACCACACCTACAAAATGAACCAAGATTTTGAATAATATAGACCGTAATCAATTATATTACCATATTTAAATCAGTTCTAAGACAAAAAGTCAGAAATAAGAAGCATCAATCAATTATATTACCATATTTAAATCAGTTCTAAGACAAAAAGTCAGAAATAAGAAGCATCAATCAATTATATTGCCATATTTAAATCAGTTATAAAACAAAAAGTCAGCAATAAGGAATACACCTTGCATTCAAGGCTCAAATGCAAGGCATATTCCTTGTTTGCTAACTATTAAATAAAGCACTAGTGAAAACTTTTCCAGAACATGCTAATCTTCAGAATACATCTGAATACCTAAAGTAGTAGCAATTCCAAAGCAGTTGAGCAGTTACCTGAAGGACCACTATAACCACCAGATGGCCGACCAATGTACCGGCCATGAGGCCTTTCATCACCATAGCCAGGTCTGCCCCCCATCTCACGTTCATATCCACCAGCATAATCATACCCAAACCTATAGCAACAAAAGGCGAAATTAATATACTCAACAATTTTTTTAACAAAGCAAAACGTTAAATTCAAAATACCCTTTTATAAGAAGCGGAAGAAGGAACACCGAATGAATTATCCTGTGAGAAAAATTAAAGGAATAGCCTATGCATGAACACAAAGAGCAGAGAATATAGAGCCACAGCTAAACACTAGAAGGCACTTGTTCTGTAAAAACAGTGCACTTCTGCATAAAGACAACTACCTCTTTTCTCTGTTAAATAAAAAATCTGTGGAGCTTTATGTCCTATAAACTGATTTCATTTAGTCATTTTCTTCTGTAATAACTTTCAGAACCAAAAGTTACCATTATTCCAACCCCTACAAACCAATAAACTTAACACTGCCAGTGAAACTCATCTAAACACCCTTTTCACTTTCCATATACTTTCAATAATTTAAAAAGGCCATTTGATTACATGCCTGAAAATTGTCAAAATATGCATACTATCATATTTATGTCATCAGATTAGCCCCAAGGTACTATAGCTCGGCTACAAGAAATGCAAACAACATAAATAAGCGGAAAAGGTGGTAGAGACATATCACAGGAAAAAGATGCAATAGTCAGTTCATGGAGGTTGCAACAGCTGGAAAAATTTCTCTCAACTTGTCAGATGAATCTAGCAGACATTTGAAATAAAATTTGTGTAAAGTATGTGAAGGAGTCTCACACTAAAAGATCTATCAAGGATATGAACCAGACGCTCCATGACATAAATTTAATATAATCATGACTTTAAACAGTATCAACAAATTCTTTCAGGAAACCATAATCGAGGAAATTCCAAAAAAAACAAAATGTATTAAAAGCCTCTACATAGCTTGTGATGCCACAAATTACAGAAGAACATTCATTTTTCTTGTACGATCCAGGGGCACAGAGCTGCTAATAATCATCCCATGTAGTCAAGCTTCTTCCTCTAGCTATGTATAAAAGTAAGCACTTTTTTTTTTTCTTTTTTAAGTCTCTTAATTTTCTAACTTAATAACTATTTGACCACCATTTCCTATGAATTGTTTATCACTGTGCTTATCAAGGCTGCATATTTTACATCTCAACTATAGCCACAAAGATAAAAACTCCACAATATATAAATCAAGACCAGGATCAAGCAATTTCTTAATATTAGTGTTTTATGCATTAAGTGATTGGGAGATTGAGGGGATATCTTATTGCTACAATCTTAACCCTATCTACATTTTTGCCAAAAAAAGATTTTTCACTCAGAAGCAGAATGTTTAGTCTCTCCAAAAGGCACTAGTGTCAAAAATAAATTGTGGAGGTCCTAAAGACGTCAGGAATAGGTACCCAACAACATGTACCAAGTAAATAAATTCAGAAGTAGGCAGTATTCCAATATTTTCCAAAGACAGTGACTATATCCCATATTTCCATCTCCTAAATCTTTCACCACAAGATTATCATGGCTCTATTATCTTCATAAACTGCCCTTTCCCTTTATAATCCATCTTCTAAGTTGATTTCATATTGGCATTCTCCCACCTAATTATGAGTATGAAGATCTAATTTAAGATTGTATCTACTTTCATTAAGAGGACATAAGAGGAAATCACAGCAAAACTTCACTAGAATCAATATGTTTCACACTACATATACAAGTTATCAACTTCTCCATAAAACTTGTTTCATATATGTATTTGGAAGAAAAAATTTAAAATGCCTCTCAAAATTTGTTACGCTTACGCTCAATAGGGAATTCATATAAAAATCAACATCTCCAACTTAGTATACCTTTCTTACAACCCGTCATAATTTAATGGCCAGGCAAATTTCTATTTGATTTCCAACAAGAATCATTCCAAAACATAACAGTAAAGTAAGATAACCAATTGGAACAACAAAAAGCATCTCAAAAAAAATTATAAGGCTAAATCAACAATGCCTAGCTTCCTCAAGCTCTCATAAACGACTGGAATTCCCACATTTACCCGTTAACCAAACAAATTCTTAAATCAAAGACACAATTACCCAAAATAAGAAACCTTACCTTCTATCGCCAGGTCCAAAACCGCCACGTGGACTTCCTCTCCTCCCGTCATAACCTCCATCATCCCTCCTAGACCGCTTGTAAGGAGGCGACCTTCGCGGCGGCGGCGAGTGCCTTCTATCTCTATACGAAACAGGCGGAGGAGGACTCAATGTGCCCCGCCTCTTATAATCCCTATCTCTATCTCTAGGCATCGGCGGAGAACGATTTCTATCATAATAATCAGGTCCACGACGGTTAGGTGGACGGTCAAGGTCTCGGTCATCACGCCTTTCTCGTGAGTCTCTATCGCGCCTTCTAGAAGATGGCGGAGGTTGATTTTGTTGTTGAGGTGGTGGTGGGGGAGAGGATTGGGTTGCGGTGGTATTGTCGTTGTTGGTGGTGGTGTCGTCGGCGGTGGAGGATTTGTCTTTGCGGTCGCGACGACGGTCGAGTGAATCGACCGCCATGTTGTTCATGACTTGGGCCATTGTTGTGGAACCCTAGAAGACGATGGGGGGTAAATGAAATGAATTAAGAACTTGATTTGATTTTGTTTTTATTTATTTTTTTCTTCTCTTTTTTACAGTGTGTGTAAGGTAATGTGTTTTGTGTGGGAGACTTGGGAACTGTTGATGGATTTCGAGAAAGAGAGAGGAGAGATAGGGAGAGAAAAAAATTTATGTGTAAATACGTTTCGTGTATTGATTGTACCCTCACTTGTTTTTTCAATACAGAGGATTATTCATAGTTTAATCTTATAAATTTTCTTTTATAATTCTAAAATGTTAATTTATAATTAATTAATTCATAATTAGATAATTAAAATTTATTATATATTCACTAATTACAAACAATCATGATTTCATCACGAAAGAGAGTTTGTAAAATTAAGTTGTAAATGTAATATTGTTTTTATTATCATATTTTATTCATTTAAATTTGCAATCATTTAAAACTTTCAATTCTTTAATTTTTTTTAAGTTAAATAATTTAAAATATGTATTATCCATTGTAATACATTGGCATTAAAGTTTCGAGTTAATGTAAAAAATAATTTTCTATATTATCACCATTAAATTTCAATAATAAATGGTTTAAAAATTATATTAATATTTCAAGTCTATATGTTATTGATGGTCATTTTTGTGAAAGAGGCTCAACCATGCATTTTTATTTTTAAGGTTGATCCACACTTTTTGAGCCCATATATAAGTGTTGTTATTTAAGTCCTACTCAAACTCTTGGTAAGCCTCATAAATCAATTTAAAAGTTTGAAGAGTTGGTTATAACTTAAATACCAAGGAGTGAGAACAAATAATCCTACTCGTCTATCTCCAGTGGCTAGTAGTGTGGAAGAACCCTTCATCTAAAGTATCTGTTGTCGACATAGCCGACTCATGGATGACACTTGTTCTTTGCTACTTGATAGATGATGAGTTTCCAATCAATAAGAACGAAGCGCGCTGACTCAAAGCGAAGGCAGCCAGGTTCACCATTCACGACGGCCAATTGCTAAAGAGATCATTCTTCAATCCCTATCTTAAATGCATCACTCCAAAAGAAGCTAAGTATGTTAGAGTTAAGCTACGCGAAAGTGAATGTGGCACTCACATCGGAGGACGTAACATCGCTAACTGAGCTCTCACAACAAGCTACTGCTGGCCCATCATGAGGTCAGGCTCTACCAATTATGTTCAACGATGCGACAACTGTCAACATTTTGTAGAAGTGTCCTATCTTCCACCACAGCGACTTAACTTCATCCTCTCACCATGGTCATTTATGAAATGAGGGATGGACATCGTTGGAAAATTGCTGATTGCAATGCAAAGAATGGAAAATCAAACTAAGTTTCTCCACATCACGCTACCCTCAGGCAAATAGCTAAACCGAGTCTTCCAACAAGACGATTATCAATACTTTAAAGAAGTAACTCAAGAAAGGTAAGGGAGCATGGGCCGACAAACGACCGGGTGCATTGTGGTCCTACCAAACCACCGCTCGAACATTGACTAGCAAAACCCCATTCTCACTAGCCTACGACTCTGAGTGTTAGGATTTAATTGATAGATACACAGCAGAAAATAAAATAATTTCAATTAATCCCTTAAACCCAACAAATATGGGCATAGGTTATTACGTTTACATACAAAATAATCTCAAAATTAATCCATAAAAGGATCAAAGAACCTTACTAACGTTGGAGGCTCCTTCAATATCTTTAATCTCTTCGCAAGCCAATCCAAGGACAAAATTGCACTTATGATATCAACAAGAAGGTAGGAACACTCATGATTGATTTAATTGACTAGATTAAATCAATTGCTCTAGGATTTTTTAGACAAGAATTGGAAAAATCAAAATCTCTCTCAAAGGGGTGGACGGCTAGGGTTTTTGTTTTCTCTAAAATGTGCTAAAACTTGATTAACCCTAATTACAACTTGCTTTTATATGGAATTTAACCTATTCCACTTTGAAGTAGGTTTAACCCTATTCCTAAGCGGAATAGCATAATGGTAATTTGAAACCATTATTAATTAATTAATTAATTAATTAATTATTAATATCAACATTAATGTTAATACAAATAAATAAATTCATAATTTTGCTAATTTAATCCCAATATAAAATTTGGACACAGGCAACGATCTCAACAAAATTATCTAATTACCCTTTTACCTAAAAGGACAGAATTAGCTCTTAAATGAAAAATCCTCAAACTACCTCCTATGTGTGTGACCCATAGACTCCCTAATATGTCGACAGTGAGTGGTATCACGATTAACCACCAATTAATCGTTTAACTATACACATGCCAAGATTGGTCTCTAGCTAGGCATCATGGTCACCCAACATACAAGGATCAGCGAAGTACTGATACTTGTCAATGGTATGGTTATCGTGCAATCAAATCTTTTTATCATCGGTTATCCTATCAAGCTGAGCCATAGAAATAGTATCAATCTCAGATGTTATCCTGATGTGTTATTATCTGGTTATCGGATCAACGACCAAATTATAATTAGATTGAGCAATGACTCAATCCCACTAGGGTCATAGATTTATGTGTCGTATCCACTTAACCAAATTGCGTAGTGGGATAACTCTCTCATGTACCCAAGAGTGATGAATCATATATTGATCCACCATAGTCTCAATATATTTCTCAATATAGCCAACCACTATCGTATTGATAGTCCTAAATAGAACTACGTTAAGCTAATGTCACACTACACCAATTGGTACACAAGTCGTTTCGATGATCTCAAGTCTAAAGATCATATAGACCACCATTTGTTAGATTATTTATTTCATAGACACTAGGGTTACCATCCATATGGAATCCTCTAGTGGATCAGTCTAGTGAACTTGCAAATAACAAGCACTCATGCAAAGTGGTCATCAAACAACTTTGATATGTGAGATCTGTCATTACCTTTTGGTAGGGTTATTCAACGCTATGATAGTCTTATCGTAATATCTATGCCCTTGGTTAGAATAATATTTAGGCTACGAATATTTCTAGAATGACCATCATATGTGCTCATAGGGTCCTCACAATTAAGATTTAAAATACTTTATTCCCTTGTCACAGTTTTACCCTTCTAAGGACACATACCAAATCATACAAGTATATGATTTACATAATATAGAAAAATGCCTTTATTTGATAAACATGGAATTATGAAGAGTCAAATATGATTAGCTCTAAGGCACCTACTCTAACACTAAGTCGAAACATACGACCTCAGTCGACTAGACTTGTTCGAGCCTATTCGAAGCAATCACGGACGAGGAATTCCAAAATTCATTCTCCTCTATTCGATATAGATATTGAATGACTATACACGATGATGGTACAACATCTCAAACAATAATCCCTTCAACCTTTTAGCTTTTGGACGTCAACTCATTCAATCTAAATTCATACTTGACTCAATCTACTCTCTAAGCTAAAAGCTCCTTAACTTAAAAAGTGGGCAACAAACTATGTTGATCTCTCATGTGTTTTGATGTACCAAAACTATTCAAAAAATTGATTGAACACTAACCATAACATGCGAAAGTATGACATAAGTCATAACCAAACCAAAATAGGTTTATTAGGTAGTATGACCTTGCATAAGCAAATTTTCGTGTAGGCACGACCGTGCCATAAGAGAAAGTTGTCGTGCAATGTTGCACGACATCGTTCCTCTTGGTCGTTAGTGTCTCTACCAAGTTGAGTGGCACTTGCACAACTAGACTTCGCACGACCATCTTGCATGACTTGTGCTCAAGTTTAAAGTCAAGATATTTCAAATTCAGATTGGTTCACGCTCTTGACTTCATATCAAAGGTCAAAGTCAAAACTCAAGGTTCAAAGTTGGAACGACCATTCCTTGTGGTGGAATGACCATTCATAGCTGAAGAAGTTTTGCACGACATCGTTTCAAGAGGTGGTTCACTCCTCTAGAAATTTAAAAAGATTTGGAAGAGCATTTGGATGTGTTCGTTCTGCGTGGTGGAATAACCGTGCAGTGTTCTTGCACCATCATACAACGTGGTGGAATTACCGTACAATGTCCTTGCACCATCATACGGCATGGTGGAATGACCATTTTAGTTAACCTAGATTTGAGAAAAATGACCGTTGTGTCAGGACGACCATTTGCAATTATAGAACGATTGTTTCTCTAGGTTCTGCAGACTTTATTAGTACTGCATTAAATGTTGCAATGGCTAAACTTTTTAGGGTTATAAAAGCTCAATATTTTAAGGGAAAAAGAGTGAGAATAGTCATACTAAATCAAAAGACATTCTTATATAATCCCTAGTGCTCAGGATCCCAATCAAATACTCTCACTTGTACTGATTTAGCTAACCTTTGAGAGTTCACTTGTTCTTATTGTGTGTATAAGCCTACTTTGAAGAGGCAATCATTCACAAACTACTTTGATTCATTCCTTAGTGGCGAAATCTTGTAAATCTAAGTGTGTGAAGCGAAAATCCTTTTGAAAACTATTGTAGTGGTGCAACTCGATTCTAGTGAAAGTCCAAGGAGGTTGCCTTGAAGAAGTGGATGTAGGAGGCTTGTGGATATAGCTCCGAACCACTATAAATCCTTGAGCATTTCTCTCTCTCTCAACTCTTTATCATTCATTGCATAGTTGTTGGTTGAACATCATTTATTTCACTTGTTCATGCATTCATTGTTCATATTTATTGCCTACAAGTTGATTTATTTCACTTGTTCATGCATTCATTGTTCATATTTATTGCCTACAAGTTGATTGCATTTATTGTTCTCTTTTGAGTTCATTTATTGCTCAATTGCACTGTCATTAACTCTATCATTCTTTGGTTATTGAATTTAGTAATTGAATATTGTTTTGATAAACTCATCATTTGCTTTAACTTTCATTGATGAGTTTTATTTCACGAATATTTTTATTGATTCATATCCACCCACCTATGAATATTAGTCATATTTAGGGTTTAACAATTGGTATCAGAGCTTGGGCTCTTGTATTAAAAACCTAACGATTTCAAGAGTCAATCAATCTACATGGCTAGTTCATTGACACCATTGTTTGTTAAGGGTCATTGCACCATTAGTCCCCCATTGTTTTGTGGTACAAACTA